GAGCATGTTCAGCTGTCTCCTGGCTATTCTTTGTGAGCTGGGGTGAGCCCAGGAGGGAAGGCCCAGGAGGGTGGTGGGGTAGAGTTTCATGCCCCCAGTCACATGCATAAGGGGACATGGATAAGGTTGAGCACTGCCATGTGTGTTTGTTGACACATGACTGGGTGGGTCTCATACCTGGGGAGTTAATTTCCAGTGTCAAGGAGTCTCAGACTTGACAGTTCACTGAAGAGCCATAACCACCAGGAGGTAGGGGCACAGGGCCAAAGCCTTCCTGATGGAGCTGGGGAGTTGATGCCAAGTATTTTACCTGCCCAGTAACCTCTTCCATACTAAGCCCTTATGGTTCAGAGTGAGCCTGGCCAGTCCTGGCCAATCAGATCATTTGATCTCCTGGCCACAGGGATTGGCTCAGTAATGGGGGTGGGGCCCATTCCTGACCAATAAGAATTAGCCCTGAGACTTCTGCTTGAACTAATAGGAAAGGAGCACCCTCGTTTGATGGGGGTTGCTAAACTTGTAGGGTAGAAATCTGGTACTATAGGTGCCTCCAGAGGCAAAAGACCCTGTCCGTTCATGGAGGACAGCAGAGCTGAGAAATGGAAAGCGACAGCTTTCTGGGTTTCCCTGGGGGCGCAGTGGTTAAGAATCCACTTGCCAATGCAGGGGACACGGGTTTGAGCCCTGTTCCGGGAAGATCCCACATGCCGTGGAGCAACCAAGCCCGTGTGCCACAACTACTGAAGCCCACGTGCCTAGATCCCATGCTCCGCAACAAGAGAAGCCATGGCAATGAGAAGCCCGCGCACCACCACGAACAGTAGCCCCTGTTTGCACCAATGAAGACCCAACGCAGCCAAAAACAAAAAAAAACAAAAAACAAAAAAAAAGGATAAACCTCCCTTATAAAAAAAAAGACCGTTTTCTGATGAGACTATTTGAGCCCCTGGATCCAGCTATGCCTGAAGGTAGTCAGCCTTTGCCTTTGATCTTCCTGGTCATATGAGTGAATAATTTTCCTTCTTCACTTACACAACTTTTTGGCTTCAGTTTTTTTGTCACTTGCAATGAAGCATATCTTTACTAATAAAATCTGTATGAGTCCAGAGGTGGCACAAATTCCAGTAAAGTTCCAAGGACAAGGAACGGGGAGTGAAAACTTGTCAGAATTCTTCAAGATGTCCTGGCTTTGAAGGACAGGCAAGCCTTGTTACAGCTGGAGAAAACGAGGAAGGACGTTCCAGGCGGGAGGAATAGTAAAGTCACAAAGGCACAAGGTGTGAGAGAGGGAGCAGTGGGTGTGTGAGGGGCAACACCTTAGCAGGTCCTGAAAGCAATAGGGAGCCACAGAAAGTTGAGGAGCAAGGGGAGTCCACTCCAAATTTGCCTTCACTTCCTGGAGCCCCAGATCCTGGTGGTTCATTCCTCCCCCTCTCCCCTTCCCCCAGACCCGTGGCCAAGTTGGGAGGAGAGGTCAGACTGAGGAGGGCGCAGGCTACCATCTGTATGCAAATTGCCTGGGATGCCATGCAGATGAGGGACCTTATGCAAATATATGCCCTACTGGGAGGCAGGCCAGGACCCTCCCTTCATTAACTCCGGGACCAGGTGCTGGGCGGAGCACCCCTTCCTCCCTGGGGTCCCCTTTCTCCCCTCCCCCAGCCATCTGTTCACTCCCCCTCCAGCTCCCCAAATCCCCCTTCACCAGTATCTGCCCTTAGAGTGGTACCTCTCTCCACCTGGTCCCTTCCTTGCTTTTCTTTCTGTCCCTCCATTTTCCATGAATGATGATATGATAATAATAATAACAATAATAATAATGAACACATGCTCTGTGCAAGGCTTTGTACCAAACACTTTCCACAGTTATCAAATTCTCCCAACCACCCTATGATTTTTATGTGTGTCTGCTGTATTCTTTTTTTTTTTATTATTTACTTATTTTATTTATTTATTTTTGGCTGCATTGGGTCTTCGTTGCTACATGAGGGCTTTCTCTAGTTGCAGTGAGCGGGGGCTACTCTTCGTTGCGGTGCACCAGCTTCTCATTGTGCTGGCTTCTCTTGTTGCGGAGCACGGGCTCTGGGCAAGCGGGCTTCAGTAGTTGCAGCACACGGGCTCAGTAGTTGTGGCGCACGGGCTTAGTTGCTCCACGGCATGTGGGATCTTCCCGAACCAGGGTTCGAACCTGTGTCCCCCGCATTGGCAGGCGGATTCTTAACCACTGCGCCACCAGGGAAGCCCTGCTGTATTATTATTATTATTATTTTTTTTTTTTAAAGAATATTCAGTTGGGGAGGGAGTTTGGGATTAGCAGACGCAAACTATTACATATAGAATGGATAAACAACAAGGTCCAAGGGAACTCTATTCAATATCCTGTGATAAACCATAGTGGAAAAGAATATGAAACAGAATGTATATATATGTATAACTGAATCACTTTGCTGTACAGCAGAAACTAACACAACATTGTAAATCAATTATACTTGGATTAAAAAAAAACAGTGAGCTGAACATAGAGGGGAAGGATGGAAAGATCGAGTAAGCCCCAAGTATCTGAGAGTCCTTAAGGTATTTCTTGCTGGTGACTCTCGCTCTGCTTGGTGAGTCCTGTGCCCACGTATGTCATGCAGGTAAAAGCCATGGCCACTAAGCACATTTTCCTCCAGCTGCAGGTGTGGCCGAGCACATTTGCCCCCATGTGGCCCTGGCATCTTCTGGGTGCAGAACCTCCTGGCTCCCCCTCAACTCTGGGCATGGAGACCACACCACAGTGAAAGGACAAGAGAGCCATATGGATACGAGAGGTCAGGTAGGGGGCCCTTTGATTGCTTGCGCCTCAACTCTCTTGCTTCTCACGTTTGTTTTAATCTGATTCAATAAACCCCGGGATTTGAGCACCTTTATTAGGCCACTGTGAGCTCTTCTGCTCTGGGGCCTCTGGGCACCTGCTCAGTTGCCTACAAGGAGGCTCCCATAGCATCAACTTCACATGGCTCCAACTTCGCACAGCCACAGATCCCACTTGGTCCACTTTGTGGCTGAGTAAACTGATGACGGGGGTGGGGGTCACCTGCAGAGACCTCCCAGCATGCATTGCACAGGGATGGCTGCTCTCACTTCTCACAGTGGCCATCCACGGCCCAAGTGTGATTGACCTCCATTTGATGGACTCAGGGAGGTGAAGTCACTTGCCCAAAGTCACACATGTCCACCCCCCCCAGCCCCCTCCCCCTGCTTCGGAGCTGCTCCTTTCAAACATTTTTTCTCTTCCTTTCTAACTGGAATGATCTCTCTGAATCCCAGTTCTTTCTGTGTTTCTGTCTTTGTCTCTACAGGCCTACCTCTCTTTATGGCACTTTGCTTTATTGCGCTTCCCAGATACTGCATTTTTCACAAACTGCAGGTTCGTGACGACCCTGTGTCGAGGAAGTCTATTGGCGCCATTTTTCCAACAGCCTTTGCTCGCTTCGTGTCTCTGTTGATAATTCTTGCAATATTTCAAATTTCCTCATTGTTATTCTATTTGTTATGGTGATCTGTGATCTTTGATGTGACTGCTATGACTCACTGAAGGCTCAGATGATGATTAGTGTTTTTAACAAGAATGCGTTTTTTAGTTAAGGCATGTACATTGTTTTTTTGTTTTTTTAAATAAATGTATTTATTTATTTTGGGTGCATTGGGTCTTCTGTTGCTGGCGTGGGCTTTCTCTAGTTGCGGCGAGCGGGGGCTACTCTTCGTTGTGGTGCGTGGGCTTCTCATTGCGGTCGCTTCTCTTGTTGCAGAGCACGGGCTCTAGGTGCGTGGGTTTCAGTAGTTGTGGCTCACGGGCTTCAGCAGTTGTGGCTCGCGGGCTCTAGAGCTCAGGCTCAGTAGTTGTGGCTCACAGGTTTAGTTGCTCCGCGGCATGTGGGATCGTCCCTGACCAGGGCTTGAACCCGTGTCCCCTGCATTGGCAGGCAGATTCTTAACCACTGCGCCACCAGGGAAGTCCCACATTGTTTTTTTGGCATAACGCTATTGCACACTTACTAGACTACAGTATAATGCAAACATAACTTACATGCACTGGAGAACCAAAAAATTCATGTGACTCACTTTTTTGTGATATTCGCTTTATTGCCGTGGTCTGGAACTGCACTGGATATAGGTCCAAGGTATGCCTGTATTTGTCTGTCTTTGCCTCTCTCCCCAAATCTCTGTCTGACTCAATGGCTCTCTCTCTTCTCTGAGCTGCCTCAGTCCATCCCTCTACCTCCCCTTAAGCCTCTCCATCCTCCTTTCAAATCTCTCTTCCTCTGCCTCAGTCTCTCTAGCTGGTCCTGCTGTTTCTACCCCCTCTTCTCTCTGCCCCAGGCCCCTTCACTGGGGTTCCTCTAAGTCACCCCTCCTCCCCCAGGGAGTCCTCAACTGCTGGCACCAGGCCACCCTCAGAGTAGACAGCTAAATCCCTAATTCCATCCACTCTGCGGCTCAGAGAGAGCTTTTCCTCTGGAAACTTCAATTCCCCTGGGTCTCTGGCAAGAGAGACTGGGAACTTTTACTTAAGGGGGCAGCACCCCACCCCGCAAATAGGCACTGGTCCTCAGGGGCCAGGCTCACCTCCCTCTGGACCCCCAGCACCTCTCTCCTCCACCCTCATCCAGCTGAGTCACCTCTCTCTCCCTCTCTCTCTCTCTCTCCCTCTCTCTCCCTCTCTCCAATTGCTCTGTGCAGGTGTGCGGCGCTTCCATATGTCTTCTTATTTTAAAAGAAGATTTTAATGACTTTTGAAATGAATAAATATTTTGTTATTTATTTATGATAAATATAAATTAATAATATAAATAAATATAAATTGTGCTATATAAAACACCAAGTACAATTGGTAAAAAAATGCAGATGGTGCCATTTATTAATTTTGAAGTCCTCAATTAGGAAGGAAAATAAAGTGTTTTAAGGCCACCTGCGCCTCCTTCCCCTTTCATCCCCTGGAGGAGGCTCTGGCCACAGGATGGTGTCCACGTGACAGACAGCATTTATTCCAGACTCCAGTGTCCACAGATGAGGGGGCAAGGGCAGGGGTGGGGGGCGAGGTGGGGATCCAGTGTCAGACTCTGCAGCAGGACGTCAGGTGGGGGGACCAGCAGTGGAGACAGGAGGTAAAAATAGCCCCGGCCAGCCGACCCTCGAGTCTCGTCCCAAGGCCAGGCCTTGGGCTTGAGTCCAGGAGCTATTCTGGGGCCTGGGAGAGTCATACTCCCTGGAGGAAGGTCTCCTCCCAGCAGCGGTAGGGCTGCCGTGGTCCCTGCCCAGCCTGCAGAGGAAGGAAGGGAGGGCCCGAGAGGGATGAGGGAAGGCCGGGAAGGCGGGGGCAGGTGGAGGCATGGGCAGGGCTGGTTTTCTGGTGCCCGCAACTCCAGGTGGGGTTCAGTGACTGCCTCTGGGAGGTCCTCGGGCTCAGCACTGGGGAGAAGATTGAGGGGTCAGCCTGGGCTCATAGAGGCTGTTCCACCCCCGGCACTCCCCTCACCAGGGTGCCCAGGCCCTCACCCACCTCATCTCCAAAGCCCCTGCTCCCATGCCTGGCTCCTCCAGAGGCACCCCCCACGAGAAGGCCCGTCTGCTCCGGCCGCTCTGACCCTGAGTGGCTCAGCTCAGGTTCCCCAGGTGGCCTAGTGGCAGGAGGCAGCATGTTGGAGGTGGTCACGGCCAGGGAAGGAGCTGGGCACGGCGTGTGTTGGATGGGGATGGATTTGGGGATGGGTGGAACGGGCTGGGACAGGGTAGGAGGTGGTAGTGGCACTGGGGTTGGGGATAGGCTGAGGCCATGGTCGAAGATGCTGTTGGAGTTGGAGCTGGTGATGTCGCTGGGGTCGGTTTGGAGGATGGCTGTGGAATGGAGCCGAGGGCGGCCGTGTGGCTGCGCTTGGAGATGAGGTCAGATGGGGATGGGTTTGGAGCTAGGAATGGGAACGGGATGGGGTTTGCAGGGGGGCCTTGGGGATGGGCATGTGGCTGAAGCTTCGTTTGGTGCTGGGTACAGGGCTGGAATTGAGGATGCGGCTGTGGGAGGGGCTGGGGATGGAGAGGAAGCTGGAGTGTGGGGTGAGGTTAGGGGCCCGGTCGGGATTGGGGTTGGAGATGGGGATGTTTATGTGTCAGGGCTGAGGATGGAGACATGGAGGTTAGATGCGGACGGGTTTGGTGACGGTTATGGGCTGGGTTTGGGGTTGGGACTGGAGAGGGGGTTGGAGTCGGGGCAGAGGAGGCTGGGGTACAGCTGGGGTTAAACTGGGGTTGGGGTGGGTTTGGGCATAGTTATGGGCTGGGGTTGGGATCAGAGGTGGGGATGAGATGGGGGATGGGACTGGGGTTAAGGTGGGCTTGGGGGGGTCGGAAGGTGCTTATGGGTTGGGTGGGGCTGTAGCTGGGGATGAGGATGGGGGAGGGGATGGTCATGGATCAGGTCTGAGGTCGGAGATGGGACGGCACCTTACTGGCGACGGAGCTGGAGTTGGGGATGTGGTTGGTTTGGGGTAGAGGTTGGGGGTGAGGTCAGAGTTGGGTTCGAGAGGTCAATCTCAAGGTGGCACGCCACTCACGGAGATCCCTTCTCCCCCCGCCGGCAGCAGCCGGGTTGCCCCTTGCGTCTCATGCAGTAGAAGGCGGCCACGATGAAGAGCAGTAGGCCCACGCTGACGGCCACGGCCATGACCGCAACTCCAGCCTGGGAGGTCTGGGGGGCCACTGCAGGGCAGGACGGAGGGGGAGGTGGTCAGCCAGCAGCGCGGTGTCTGCCCCGCACCCGGCTCCTGTCCCACCACTACGGTCACTCACCAGTGCCGAAGTGGAAGACATGCCGGTCGTTCCCGTAGGGGTTGGAGGCCTCACAGGAGACGCCATCTCGGCTCAAGGCACTGGTCACCTTCAGGGTCAGGGAGCTGCTCACCCAGCCCTGGCCTCCGGGGGCTGGCTCTGCTAGCTGTGGAGGCTCGTGTCAGGCCTGGGCTCGCGGGGCCAAGGGCTCGGGTGAGGGCACAGGTGAAGGGGAAGGGGTCGGCGGAGGGGCGTGGGGTGGGTGACACACAGTGCTTGGACCGTTGAGGGGGCAGGGACTTGGGGAGGGTGCCAGAGGGTTCGGGATGCAGAGGAGGGTCCCTTACACTGCCGCCCAACTGGCTCCAGCTGAGTTTGGGCTCTGGGTAGCCGCGTGCGTAGCAGGTCAGCCTGACTTCACCTCCTTCCCTCCAGCCGCCCTCCGCCTTGGGCTGAGTCTCCTCTGCCCTTAACTCTGGTGGGCCTGCGGGTGGTGGGGTGGGAAGGAGGTGAGAGGGAGGCACCCCGGGGAAGGGGACAGAGAGAGAACGAGGAGAGAGAGAAGGGCCAGCCGCGGACCCCTGTCTTGCTTGGTCCTGGCCCCCCACTCTCCCACACTACCCCTGTGCTCCCGCCCCCAAACCTTGGACCAGCAACTTGAAACTTCGGGTGCGACTAAGGACGGGGACCGCGGGCATGGAGGCCTCACACGTGTAGGTGCCGGCGGAATCGAAGGTGACGGAGCGGAGGGAGAGTGTGGGGTTGTCCCCCAGGGGTACTGAGTCCTGGGTGGGGAGAGAAAGAGGTCGTCAGGCTGGCCGTGAGAGAAGGGAGGGGTCGATGGGAGCGGGGGGTCTTGTGCTGGGGGGACGCCTTTCCCTCTCACCTTGGTCCAGCGTAGGGCTGGGGTGGGCAGGCCTCGCACGGAGCAGTTCACGGCTGTGCTGTTGCCCAGGGGTAAGGAAAGCTCTTCCCCAGTGCTCAGCTCCAGGGGGTCCAGGTCTGGAGGGGGGTACAGACTGTCATCTTCCCCGGACCCTCACCCACTCGGTTAGGGACTCTCCAGGGCTGTCGGGGGTGCAGACGTGAACGGACAATCGTCAGCAGAGAATGCCAAATTCTCCCCAGCGCCATGAACTCTCCACTCTCCCAGCCGGGTCCTGGAGCCCAGATCTAGGAATCTAACTCCAAAATACATGCCCACCTCGACCACTTGCCTCCAGAGCTGATGCCTGGGCCCAAGGTTAATGGATAACCTTGGAGGGGTGAGGCGCTCCTTCTTTGACTTACCACCCAAACCCTGGCCTCCTCTGTACTACCCATCCTTTTATCAAATATTTCTCTGCTCTGCCCAGCCCCCCCCCCGCCCCCTCAAATGGACATTCTCCCTTCTTTCCATCTCTGACCCCAGGGTCCAACTGCCTTGATGGCTGCAGTCACCTCCTCACTGGTCTCCCTAGTAGGCAAGACTCTTATCCTCTCTGGTCCATCCTCTGCTGCGCAGCCAGGGGGATCTTTTCAAAACACACTGGTCAGCTCTTGCCTCTGCTTAAAATCCTGCGGTGGTTCCCCAGTACCGTGGGCATCAAGGTGGTTCCCCAGTACCGTGGGCATCAAGGCCACATTCCTTGATGAAGCCAAGAGACTCTGCCTGGTCGACCCTGCCCACTGCTTCCACCTCATCTCCCACCCTCCCCCCTTATCCCAGGAGCTCCAGCTACCCTATTCTCTCCCTGTTGTTTTACAGTATGCCAAGTTGGGTCCTGCCTCAGGGCCTTTGCATGTGCTGTTTCCTTGGCTTGGAATGCTCTTTTTCTGGCTTTTTGTATTTCTGATTCCATTCTTTGGTTTCCTACTCAAATTCCCCCTTCTCAGAGAGGCCTCTCTGACCCTCTATTGTGGACACTCAGGCTTCCCCTTTGGCACTGAAGGATTTGTTCCCCCAGCTGTTGAGAAGGATGTCAGCTGTCAGCCCTCAGCTGTCAGCCGGCTCTGGAAACTGCCTGAGCCTCAGAGAGCCCCTCGTTCAAGGACATGTCCCCCGCTCCCCCAGGCAGCCCACATCCAATAATGGGTTGACGTGGGCGGTATAAAGGCCCGGCCCCCACTCCCCAACTGGGGATATCCCAGCCTCCGAGTGTCCTGCGGGGCCGACTGAGGTCTTCCTTAGACTGAAGCCCAACTTCCCCCCCTGCCCAATCCTGCTTCCTTCCCCTCCCCATCCCCCAATAGGTGTGGATCCCAAGGCACTCCCCGTAGGTTTCCTGCCTGCAGTCAGAATCTGCTTCCTAGGGATGCAGCCTTCAACACCCCCAATCTAAAATAATCCCCGCTCGCCGGGCAATTCCTTATCCCATCCCTCTGTGTTAGTCTCTGTAGATGCAGGATTGCTACTCAAAGCGTCTTGTTCAGTGTTTACCATCTGTCTCCCCTACCGGACCTGGAGCTCTGTGGTGGCAGGGACTGGGCTGTCTTGTTCACAGAGGTGTCCCCGACAACTGGCACAGGGCCTAGCCCCAGGAAGGGAGGTGGAAGGAGTGTCGAGGAGGGACAGAGCCTTCACACAGGGCTTGCGTCCAGGTGGACAGAGAAGGTTTCTTAGAAGACTGGGACCCATGAGATTGATCCAGAATGGATGGTAGAGAGGATGGGGAGTTATCGTAGGAAAGAGGAGAGAGGAGCTTGTGGCATGATGGGGAGAATGCCTTGGCCGGGAGAAGGGTCTGCCGAAGGTGAGGCCAGCCAGGTGGGCCTCGAAGGCCATGGTGAGGCACATGGATTTTCTCCCGAGAGCACTGGGGAGCCATGGCAGGTTCCAAGCAGGGGAAGGTCAGGTTTTTATGCTTTGGAAAGGGCTCTCTGGCTGCCTTGTGTGGGAGACTGGAGGGGCCTGGGGCATCTGGACCAGGGCAGGGACCATAGAAAGGGTTGGAGGCAGGCCGTGGTGGGGTGAGGGTGAGGAGGCGGCTGGTGCCAGGCACCCCCTCCCGCTCTCCCGGGGCTCTCACAGGCCACGTGCAGCTCCAGGGTTTTGGAGAGCTCTGTGTCCTCGGCAGCGTCGTAGTCTTCCACCCTGCAGCCGTAGGTCCCGCTCTGGCTCCGCTGCACCCCTTCCAGGGTCAAGTTCCCCTCGAGATTTGTTTTTAGCACATCCTCCTGCTTGTCCTGGGGGACCAGGAATGAGGAACCTGGTTCAGGAGATGCCTTAGGCTGGCGGGGCCATGCTAGGTCAGGGGTCATCCAAGTCAGGCATCACGGTGAGTCAGGACTCTCTCAAATCAGAGGTCAGAGGTCCTGATAGCTCCTGGGTCACCGGACAGGTGCCCTGCTAAGCCAGGCACCACTCATGTGAAAGGTCAGAAGTTGGTGCAGGTGAGTATGTTGCAGAGGTCAGAGGTTGGCGGTTCCAAGGGAATGATGGGGTGGGTTACCTGAAGGCGGAAAAACGTGTACTCTGGGTTGGGGCTGCCATCCCCCCGGCAGAACAGCTGGACAGAGTCACCCTCGCGAACCCAGCCTGCAGTAGTGGACGGGCTGCCCAACCAGAACTGCACGTGCTCCGTGGGATCTAAGGGAAAGGGCAGACTCATGATCAGGGTGAACTGTAAGAGGCAGGGCTGGATTAAGGGAGAGAGGTCAGTGGAAGGTTAGAGGTTCTATCTTTCTTTTTTTTTTGGAGGTTCTATCTTTCAAGGCTCAGGTTTGCACTTATTCTGAGATCAGGGACCCGAGGTCAGAGGTTGAGATAGGTTGAGAGAACAGGTCAAGGGTCAGAGGTCGGTGTGAGTGACAGGTCAATGTGAGATTCAGGGGACCCAATGTGGTGTGAAAGGATGGGACACAACGTTTAGTCATGAAACTCTGTGGGGTTCAGGGTGCTATGGGGGGTGTCAGAAGTCAGGGTGGGGCTCGTGCTACCATTTGAGCACAGAGGTCAAAGGCCAGAAGCCAGTACAAACTGCACCACAAGCTAAGGGAGTGGAAGGTCAGCGTGGAGTGGTGGTTCATGAGTCTGCCTGGAGGGTCAGGCCACAGTGATGTGTAGAGTCCAAGGTCAGGGCGATCAGAGGCTGGCATGGACTCACAGTGCAGGGTGAGGTGGAAGGAAGGGCTGTCCAGGCGGCCGTGCCGGCCCGTGGGCAGGCGGTAGTGCACGGAGCAGTGGAAGCTGGCGTCCCGGTCGGCCTTGTGGAGTCGCAGGTAGAGGGTGCTGGTGAGAGACAGCAGGCCCGAGGCCTCCCGGACTGTGCGGCTGGTCATATAGCCCTCTGGGAGAGAGGGAAGGACGAGGGGGTCAGCCAGCCCGGCCCCAGCCCGCCGCAGCCCCCAGGGAGTCTAGCTGGGCTCCCGCGCGCTCACCGGAGTTCACCTCCATGGGCACCTCCAGGCGCTGCCCGTTCCGGTACCACGTGATCTGTGGGGCCGGGTTCCCATTGCGACTGTTGCAGGTGGCTATCTGGGGCAGACACAGGCCCGCAATGGGCTCGGAGCCAGGACCCTGAAGTCTGGGTCCCCCTCCCTTAGGGTTTCTCCCCAGCCAGACGCAGGAGTCCAGCTCCCAGCACCCTATTCCTCAGACTAGGAAGCCCAAGCCTCCAGCCCCTCCTGACCTTAGGATGGAGGAGACCAGGTCCCCAGCCCCCTCCGCCCCCAGAGCCCTAGAATCAAGGTGTGGCCCGAGGTACCTCCTGGGCGAAATCCTCCATCACCGACAGTGTCCCTCTGTTGGGGGAGACCTCGGTGGCCTCTGGTTTCGCTACGGGAGAGATGTTATGTCAGGAGCTCCTTCCCGGGGTTCTCACCGGCCTGCCCCTTCCCAGGGCGGCTACTTGGGGGGGGCCCCAGACACTCACCGAACACATTGAGCCTCGCGGTGGCCTCGGCAGTGCCTGCTGCCCCCGCCCTCACCAAGCACACATAGTCCCGCTCGTCGCCCACCTGGGCCTCGGCCAGCACCAGACGCCCCCGGGAGTCCAGCTGGTATGGTGGGCTGCGGCCCCGGGAGTCGTGCACCTTGTCCTGGAGCTCAGTGCCATGCAGCTCGGCAGAGGCCAGGCGGTGGCGAACCCCAGAGCGGTCGGCCTGTGGGTGGCGGAGCGCCTCAGCTGGGGGCTGCCTGGCCAGCCTGGCCCTCCCTCCTCGATGTCCCTTTCTGCTGCTCCGTGGATCTCTTTGCCTCACGTTCTCTCTCTCTCCATCTCACTCTGTTCCCACCTGTCTCCCTCTCCCTCCCTGTCTCTCCCACTCTTTTCTTTTTCTCTTTAGTCCCACCCCCCAGGCTCTTGCTTTCTGGGTGTCTGCCGCTATATGTCCTCTCTCAAGAGCCAGCGCTCTAAGGGGGACTTCTGCATTCTAGCCTCGGCTGTGCCTGGACACCAGGGGACCCTGGAGAGGGCCTCCCCCTTGCTGGGCCTCCGTTTCCCCACCTGTAAAATGGAAAGGCAGCTTGGTGGAGCTTCTAGAGGCCTTTGGGCTCTGACGAGGGGATGAACGTCTGCAGCCCCACTGCGCCCCGACTCTCAGGCTCCCCTATGGCATCCCCTGGCCCCCAGCCAGCAGCACTCACCAGGAACCATTCCAGCACGAAATGGTCATGGGCTCCCAAAGGGGTGCAGTCCAGAGTGACAGGCTCCCCCCTCATCACCTCCACCAGAGGGGGCACAGACAGGCGCACCTCAGCCTTGACACCTGCGGGAGGGCGACTGAGCTCTCTCCCACCACCACCAGTAGGTAGTCTTCCAGACACAGCCCCTCCTCCCCCAGACCCAGGATCCAGGCCCCCAGCCCCTCCCCCCTCAGACCCAGGATCCAGGCCCCCAGCCCCTCCCCCCTCAGACCCAGGATCCAGGCCCCCAGACCCTCCTCCCTCAGACCCAGGATCAAGATCCAGGCCTCCGGCCCCTCTCCCCTCAGACCCAGGATCCAGGCCCCCGGGCCCCTCCTCCCTCAGACCCAGGATCCAGACCTCCCTCTCCCCTCAGACCCAAGATCCAGGCCCCCGGCGCCTCTCCCCTCAGACCCAGGATCCAGGCCCCCGGCCCCTCCCCCCTCAGACCCAGGATCCAGGCCCCCGGCCCCTCCCCCCTCAGACCCAGGATCCAGACCCCCGGGCCCTCCTCCCCCAGGACCCAGCTCCTCTCTCCCTTCATCTGTCAGCTCTGCGCCTCTGAGCTTCAGATCCCATCAGCATTTCTCTCCATCTCGCCCTTCACCTGCAGAACTAAGCGCTCCTCCCCTGGGCCACCAAGGGCCCCGGTGGCCTCCATTCAATCCTCTTGGGCTCAAATCATGTCTGTCCTTGCTTTTCTCACTAGACCAAACGCCCCTCAAGCGCAGGGCTGGGTGGGCTCATTCTTTTGCCTCAAGCACTTTGCATAGGGCCTGGCACAGTGCTGTGGGATAACCGTCTCTCTCTCATCTTAGTCGCCACCTCTGCATGTGTGTCCCTCCCCCTGGGTCTCCATCTCTTAGTTTCCCGGTCTCTGCGTATCTCTCAGTCTCCGTGTGGCCCGGCCCTGCCCCTGGCCCTCTCCCTCAGGAGTGCGAGGCTGGGGCTGGGGCTGGGCCAGAGCTGAGGCAGGGTGGGTGTGTGGGCGCGGTGAGGGGGACAGGGCTGGGCAGGTTTCAGGAATGTGGGAGGGACAGGCTGGCTCAGACCTGCCTGAGCCCCCTGCCCGCTCCTTGGCCCCTCTGACTCTTTGGTAGAGCAGTGTGTCACCTCAGAACAGTATAGGGTTGAGGCCCCGGATCCTGGGTTCCAAGGGAGAACGGAGCTGAGGGCCGGCACTCCTGTCCCAGGATCCTGGCAGATAGAGCTGCTCGCATGGGGAAAGCAAGCTCTTTCACTCTCTGGGCTGGCATCCTGGCCTGAGCTCTCAATTCTTAGAACCTCCGGTCCCTTCCCCGCCCAGCCTGGCCCAGCTCTGCCCCTGGGGACCCACTACTTGCCATGCTTGTGCCAGGGGCCTGGATTCCCAGGCACCCACCTGTGGCTCAGGCCTGCCCCCTGGGAGGGAGGTGGGACCAAGCTGGTACCCTGGGCTGGGTCTGAGCGGCAGACAGCAAGGACAGATGAAGAGATCTCTCTCTCCCCCACTTCTCTCATCTCTCTGTCCCTCTGCTGCCAGTGCCTCAGGGCCTCCTCCCCTCCTCCCACCACCATGCAGGTGTGTGGATTTATTATCTGGGGCCTCCGGGAAGGGGGCACTGTCACTTGGAAACACTTGGTTCCGCTGTCAGGGCTGGTGCCCCAGCCCTTTCCCATGGAGGTGGAGGCGGGGCAGGCGGGTCCTTTTGAGTCTGGGCTCTGAATCTACATGGGGGAGAACCCTCAAATGCACGTAACTTGTTGGTTTCTAGACACAGCATCCCTGACCCTCTCAAAACTTGACAACTTTTGAGCGGGGAGGTCTGTTTTGGTCTCTTCTGTGCCGGGGAAAGCTCCAGCCACTGAAAGCCTGGACCTCTGGGGGCAGATCCCAGGGTCTGAGTAGGGGAGGGAGAGGAGAGCCCGCGCTCTTGGGTCCCGCGACTTCTCAGGTCGCCTCTAATCCACTGCAGTGGATCCCCAGCCCCTCTGCCTGGCTGTCCCCAGGTCTCTCACTGGGAGGGGCACCCCATGCTCCCATATCCCTCCTCCCTGGGGTTCCCAGGTTAGGCTTCCTGGGTCGGTGAAAGCCCCTCCCCTCTTCCCTTCCCGGGGTCCCCCAGGGGCCGCCCCTGAGTCGCGCCCTGCTCTCGGCCCGAGCCATACCTCGGTGCGCCCCCAGCAGAAGCGCGAGCACCAGCAGCCGCGGGGCCCTGCGCGCCCCGGCCCGGGCGTCCGGGGGCTCCATGTTCAAGGTGGCGGGCGGCGGCGGCGGGCGCGGCAGCAGCGGAGGAAACAACTGAGCCCGGGCGGGGGATCGGCGGCCGCAGGGCTGGAGCGAGGAGGCCCCGCCCCAGGTAGCCCCGCCCCGCCCCGCCCGGCCCCCCTCGTCCCTCCCAAACCCGGGCGCGGGGCCAGGACCTCCCACTGCCCGGAGCCGACCTCCCAGCGCACACCCGGGAGCGGGGCTCCCTCCGCCCCCAGCCCGCGGGGTGTCAGGCTCAGGCTGCCCAGCGCCCGCGGCGGGTGGCCTGACCGACCAGTCCATCCGGTGTCCCGAGCGGGGACCTCAATGGACAACCGCGGACCCTCTCTCTCTCTCTCTCCCCCTCAATCTGACCGGGGGACTCGTTCCCACCATGGCCGGTGGCCTGGGCTCGCCTCATCGTTTTCAAACAGCTGGTCCCGGTCCAACGAGTGGCCTGCACTGGCCTCCCCAGTCCAACCAGCAATCCCCAGCCTGACCAGAGGCCTAGAACAGCTTCTCTCAGTATGCCCCGTGAAGCCTCCCCAGTGGCCAGTGCTCCAGGCTGCTTTCCTGTCGGACCAGTGGCCTGGAACCCACCAGTTCAATCTCTTGTATCGAATGGGCTTCAGATCCCAGGTCCGCCCGGGCCTCTGTGAGATACTGGGGCAGCGCGTGCGCTTTCCTCTGCTCTTCTCCGTAGGGCCCTCCCTGTCTTCCCCCCATCCAGGGAATCCCACGAATGCCACCCCCCCTCCCTCTCTTTCTCTTCCCTTCACTCCCTCCCAACTTTGGGGGGAGGGGAGAGAATCCGGCTGGCAGTAGCAGGTGAGTGGGGGAGGGGAGAAGACCAGGGCACCTGAGGGAAGCGAGGAGCCCCTGCCATGGGTCAGAAGGAAGGGTCACAGGTCAGACTTGGGATTACAGATCAGTCTGTGCACAGCTCCTCACAAGCCAGGCCTGACTGGGACAAAATCCCTAGACGCTGGCTGGGGGATGGGGGTGAGATTTCACTGGTTACCTGGGAGAAGCTAGCCCTCAACACTGGTCAGAATAGGGGGCAGCTGGTCATGCTGGGAGAGGTTCCCCGGGCCTCTGATCAGCTGGGGGTGGGGTGGTCACCGGTCAGACACCACGGAAGCCTTAGATTACAGGTCAGCCTCGGAGTTATTGGTTAGGCTGGTCAAGGCTACCTTGTCCATACAGGAGAGCAATTGTTATATTGGGAGAGGTGACCTTTTAGCGTTAGCCGCACCATCCCCTCCTCCAGGAAGCTCTCTCTGCTCCCCTAGGCTGACTCAGGCGCCTCCTCTGGGCTCCCCGACCCCAGCCCTGCACATTCTGGGTCATCTCTGTCTGGGGACAAGTCTGTCTCCCCCACTGGACCGGGAACCGGTTAGGGGAGGGCCAGGGCTGTTTCAGTCACTGTTGTGTCCCCAACACTGCCCTGCAAAGGCCAGACTCGGAGCAGGCACTCAGGGAAGGTTTGCAAGGCTCAAACGCAGAAGCACACAGGCTCACGTGCAAACCCCACCTGCACTAGATCATCGCAGGACGCACATGTAAACTCGCGCGTGGACAAAAGTGCTCCCTGGGACAAGCTTACACACAGTGATCCCAGGCACCCACTCCCCTGTTACTCTGGCCCTGGCTCATGTACCTACTGCTTGGGATGCTAGGCGCCCTCTCATCAGCACCCTGCCTTCCACCTTCCTCAAGAGTCCAACCAGCTGAGATTCTAGGTGAGGATTCTATGGAGTGTGGATGAAGGAGGGAAGTCATAAATACCAGCACGGTTCCTCGCAGACTTGCAGAAACTAGTACTGAAATATCATCTGCCTTTGTCCCCTACAATTTATTTCCACAAAACAGCCGTAGGGATCCCATTAAAATGCGAATGAGCTGCTGTCGCTCTTCTGCTCAGCACCCTTCCACGGTTCCCGTCACTCTGAGTAAAAGCTGAAATCCTCTCCATGGCGCACAAGGTCCTAGATCTGGTCCTCTACTTCCGTGACCCCATCTGCCCCTCTCTTCCCCCTCGCTAGCTCTGTTCCTGCCACAGTGGTTTCTTTGCTTCCATGCTGTTCCTCCAACGCCAGGCGTGTTCCAGCCTCAGGGCCTTTGCACTTGCTCTTCCCTCCCTCTCCTGGGACATTCTTTCCTGCCATAGCTCCCTCCCTGACTTGCTTCAAATCTCTACTCTATCACCTTATCACAAAGCTTCCCTAGACCATCCTATCTCATTTAGCAACTCCTGCTCTCCCAGCCCTTTATCTCACTACATTTTTCCTTTGTAGCACTTATCACCACCACATATTTATTTTTTGTTGTCTTGCACAGAAGCTCCAAGAGAACAGGAACTTTTTTTGGTTCACCACTGTATCTCCAGTGCCTAGAACAGTGCTTGGCGTGAGGAGAAGCTGAGAAAGTATTTGTGGAATCAATGAATTTTCCAATTCCATCCATGCTGTCCCATGTGTAGATATTTATACATTTTAATTTGGAGGGGCAATGTCTATTCCCCAGTGATTCTAGACTTGCACTGGAAAATGTAACTACTGAAAGTTTGTGTTGATAAAAATATACATATCTTGTTCCCAGGAAGGTTCTGGGTCCCAGAAAGTTTCCGGGTTTGTTAAAGCATCAAAAATATGAAATGAGGGAATTCTCTGGTGGTCCAGTGGTTAGGACTCCGAGGTTTCACTGCTGAGGGCCCAGGTTCAATCCTTGGTTGGGGAACTAAGATCCCACAAGCCACACAGCATTGTCAAAAAAAAAAGAAAGAAATGATAGTGATGATTAAATATATATATGTAAATACCTGTACATTGAAAATAACAAAATATTGATGAGAAAAACTAAGAATAAATTCCCCTCATCAGGTTGAAAAGGAAAAGAAAAAAAGAAAGTTTTTGTTGTCTAGGGCGGCAGTGTGATGTAGTCTTGGTTGTACAAGAGTTAGTTGTGCAGGGAGAGCTTAGATAAGAACTTTTGGCAGGGGCTTCCCTCGTGGCACAGTGGTTGAGAATCCTCCTGCCAATGCAGGGAACGCGGGTTCGAGCCCTGGTCCAGGAAGATCCCACATGCTGCAGAGCAACTAAGCCCGTGCGCCACAACTACCGAGCCTGTGCTCTAGAGCCTGGGAGCCACAACTACTGAAGCCCGTGAGCCTAGAGCCCGTGCTCCGCAACAAGAGAAGCCACCGCAGTGAGAAGCCCACGCACTGCAACGAAGAGTAGCCCCCGCTCGCCACAACTAGAGAAAGCCCACGTGCAGCAACAAAGACCCAACTCAGCCAAAAATAAAAAAATATTTTTTTAAAAAAGAACTTTTGGGGGAAGAGAATATAAGCGTAGAGCAAAGGATACATACTGATGTTGAGTGTTCAAAGGGGTGGATGGTCATGGGTTTTTTGGAGGGAGGGTTGACTAGCATGTGCATCCCACTCCCACATTAAAAAGAACCCCTGCCATCCGAAAGCCTGTTACCCTCTGTTGAAACCAGTAAGGACAAATGTTTCTTTCCTGCCTCCGTTGTAGCTCAGGTGACCTAAGCTCGGCGAATCCCGCTCTACTTTGGAATCATGTGCCAGCAATGCCAAATAAACAGAGCCTGGCTAATCTGTTACTGCTGTGGCAGCTGGGGCAGATTCTACTTTCCAAAGATGGCTGTGACAATAGCTCTCATCCCACACACTCTTTTTTTTTTTTTTAATTAATTAATTATTTTTAGTTTTGGCTGCGTTGCGTCTTTGTTGCTGCGTGCGGGCTTTTCTCTAGCCGCGGGGAGTGGGCTTCTCACTGCTATGGCTTCTCTTTGTCGCGGAGCACGGGCTCTAGGCGCGCGGGCTTCAGTAGCTGTGGCTCGCGGGCTCTAGAGCTCAGGCTCAGTAGTTGTGGCGCACGGGCTTAGTTGCTCCGCGGCATGTGGGATCTCCCCGGACCAGGGCTTGAACCCGTGTCCCCTGCATTGGCAGGCAGATTCCCAACTGCTGCGCCACCAGGGACGCCCCCCACACACTTGT